CTTCGTTTCCGAAACCTTCGTTTCCGAAACCTTCGTTTCCGAGGCCTTCGTTTCCGAGGCCTTCGTTTCCGAGGCCTTCGTTTCCGAGGCCTTCGTGTTGGTCACTTCCTTCTCCCAGTCGCGCGCGGCTTCTTTAATGAGCTTGGGGTCATAGATCTTGGTGACGGTAGTCTGTGTGGTGTTGTCGTCAGAAATATTTGGGGTGTTGTCTTGAGTGCTGTGACTAAGGGTATATGTTTGCGCCACGGCCCAGATGGCGAGTGCGATTTTGGAGGCATGTATGCTCCACCAGCCACCTCGGTCGGTCCATTTGCTGCAAGCTTGTAGTACGGCTTCGAGGGGTCTGCTTTCGTTGCGTCCTTCAGTGAGTATAAGGGGTGGCCTGAAGATGCTGACGGTAGCGAAGCCGAGTTTCTGGACGTCTTCATCGAGTTGACCCTTTGTCTGGGTGTACAGGAAGTTACTGTTAGCGTTGGCGCCAAGGGTAGAGACTATGCTGTAATGTTGAGCGCCAGCCTTGACTGCCGCCTTAGCAATCTCGTAGTTAAGGTAATAGTCAATCTTCTTAAACCCTTCAGCCGTCTTCGCCTTCGCCTTCGTCGTACCTAAACTGCTAATGCAGTGCGTAACCTTGCCACCCAGTGCCTCCACCCCCACCGCCACCGCTGCCTCCACATTGTCAAACGACACCTTCTTCACCACCAAGTGAGTCTTGTACCACTCCTCATTCGCAAAACCACTCGTCTCCAACTCACGACGTACCAACACACACAGTCGATCAATCCCGAACTGGGGAGCAGCCTTCAATAACTCACCCCCGACTGCGCCCGTCGCGCCAACCAATATGACGTTCATCATCTGTGCAAAATTTACACACTCTCATTTTACAAACGCGACAGGAGGCACAGCAACAACTAATTGTGACCTCAACTATTGATCACACCAGTTCTCATGTCAATTATCAAATCAATGTCAGGGTGAATAAAAAAGAAGCATCATCGTCTTGCTGTCCATTCTTGCTGTCCAGTCTGATCCAGTTCCTGGTCCAACCTGGTCCTGGTCCAACTTGGTCCTGGTCCAACTTGGTCATGTCCAACTTGGTGCTGGTCCTGGTTCAGCTTGGTGTGTGTGTCAGCAAAAGTTGCGGTGTACTGCGGCGACGCCATCTGTGTCATATTGTGTGCGTGAGATCATGAGTGACTTGAATGAGGGGAGCATGCCGACGACGGTACCACCCATGAAGGCACAGTATTGTCGATCGACGGGTGCGTATGCTCGAATGAGTGCATCTTTGGGTTGTAGTCGTTTGAAGTCGTTGACGAAGCGGTCAAGGAAGGCTCCGAAGAGTGTGGAGCCACCTGTGACGACGATGCTGGCGCAGAGATGGCGTCGCAGATCTAGGTCGCAGTTGGTTATGGCCTGATGGACAAGTTGCGGGATTCCGTGAGCCTCGCGTGCGTCTAAAGCAGGGTTGAACAGAATTTCTGGTGCTGCATGACGGTTGGCAATCTTGACGATAGCGCCATCAGGAAGTGTATAGGAGACGGCGCCAGCCTCAGCACCGCCGAGAGTGGTGCCAAGGTTTTTTTTGTCTAGAGCTGTTGCGGCTACAGCACAGACAGTTTCCTTAATCTCTCGCACAATTTCTAGTTCGCTCGATGTTTCCAATCGTAATCCCTGTTGCTTAAGTAATTTTTGAAGATACATCGTCACATCACGACCACCCACCGCTGTAGCCTCCACACTGTGCGGTAGTGCAAAACCCTCAGCTACAGATGTCACACGTGTACCGCCTTCTCCTACATCCAAAATAGTACCCGTCGTACGTGCCGTTGCATACAACGCCAAAACCGTTTGTGACATCACACACACCATCGGCACACCAAATGACTCAAATGCAATCTGCACCAACTTCTCTTTATTACTTGTGGGCAACAACGCTGAATCACTTATCAATAACGGATGTCCAGCACTACTCACATTCAATTGATTAAACACTTCTTTCCATAGCAATTCCAAATCTGTCTCATCCTTAATGATCCCTCGATCAATCGGATAACTCAGCTTTAAAATACCGCGGTATTTACGCGCCTGTTCTCCGACATACGCGTCTTCATTCGGCGCGTCCACCATCACACGCTCATTTTTCTGACGACCAACACTAAGGAAAAGGAAAACGGGGTATAGATCAAGGACTGGGTAATGTAGGGGGAGTGGGTAGGGAGTGGGTAAGGTAGGGGGAGTGGGTAGGGAGTGGGTAAGGTAGGGGGAGTGGGTAAGGTAGGGGGAGTGGGAGTGGGTAAGGTAGGGGGAGTGGGAGTGGGTAAGGTAGGGGGGAGTGGGTAAGGGTAAGGTAGGGGGAGTGGGAGTGGGTAGGGAGGGGGATGCTAACTAGCTGGGTAGAACAACAAGTGGTTTAACATCTCCGGCGAATCCCGCCTTTATGGTAGATGAGCCATTGTCTAAAACAATGACCTGGTTGCTCATTATAAAAATGAGAGCATGGGGAACCTGTTAGCTGAGCCGGAAGATAGTTTGCCTGCTGGTGCAGATGCCAGTGGGGGGCAGCAACGTATTGTTAGTTGGAGCGAAGCACTCAGTCGTTCAGGTTCTTGCTCCGGTAAATCGACGATGGAGGCCGTAACGACTGTTCGGAACCCGTTTGTGATTGACGCCCATGAAACTAAGGTAGAAGGAGCATCACTACTGTTCGGCTACACATCCACCTCGGATTGTCTGTGTCTGGTTTACACTCTGACAACTGGAAGTCAAGTCCCACGAATCAACTGGGAGTCGGTCGAGGCAACGCAGCTTCCCGATCCAATGCTATTCATATACGAGACACAACATCGTGACTTTGGATGTGTTGAAGACACGGGAGCATCCCCGCACACGGGAGCATCCCCGCACACGGGAGCATCCCCGCACACGGGAGCATCCCCGGACACGGGAGCATCCCC